ATCAACAGGAGAAAAAAATACTTTTGTAGTGATAATCAGGATGGCCCATTTCAAACAATTGACAAGAAGGTGTCAGTAACAGTAGCGGGAAAATTAGCATGGGGAAATAGTTTTTAGTTTGTATAATAACTCATCCACTCCCAGTCTTTATTCAAGCCTAATTTAATGGTGTCCATTTTGCAAATTAATTCCAGTTCTGCAGTTTCTCATTGGAGTCTGTTTTTGAAGTTTTTTTGTTGAATAATTGCGGGTCTGGTGCTGGCTACAGAGGCGAATGGGATTGTAAACTAAGAAAGCGTTTTTTTGTTTCTGGTTCTTCCTGCGTTTGGAGAAGCAGGACCATGCACATTCCTTGTAAATAAACAAGATTGCACCAAAGAAAATATCAGATCCCATCATCAATTTCAACCCCCAACTGGAACATCCCCAGGGCCCTAAACTTTGACTAGCTGCTTGGGTCTGAAAGAGGCAACAATCTATAAGTTTGCTTTGCGTGCTTCCTAGCTGCAGGCCTTCCCTCCAGTGGGGCCCTCTGATACCTAAACACAATCAAGCTGCTGAGGTTTTCAGGCTCAGGAGTGGCAGAATCAGGGAAGTATCAGAGGGGTAGCCGTGTTAGTCTGGATCTGTAAAAGCAGCAGAGAGTCCTGTGGCACTTTATAGACTAACAGACATATTGGAGCATGAGCTTTCGTGGGTGAATACCCACTTCTTCGGATGCATGTCAGAATCAGGGAATGCTTCCTCAGCTGCTTTTGTAACTGATGACCTGGAAATGGAATGCTCTTGAAATCTGCTATCCCGTTAGTTATTTCTCGTGATTGTTTCCATCACTGCACTGTTCCTGTCTGTGAGTAAGTGTGCACTAACACTGGGTGAATGAGTGGGTAATTTAAAAAAAAACAAACTTCCCTCATCTCCATATTTTAAGTAGAAAATTGACATAGTACTCAGTTTATTTTTTCAAACTAAGACTTCAGTGCTTCCTAATTTTAAAGAAAGTGGAGTATTTATCAAACTTTTGGATAGTAGAATTTTATTCCTCTGTCTCTCAGAAGATGGGAGCTAGATCATAACTTGTCATAACTGTGTGCTAGCTTCAGGGTGCTTCTCTAGAATTGTTCACAGAAAACATGCTTCCTTCCAAATGAGTGCTACGTTTGTGAAGTCTGGAGTGGACAAGCTGTTCATTTTATATTGTAAGTCATTTTAACTCCTATGTAAGTGATAAATATTATTATTATAGTCTACACGTGTTCACACATTCTGGTTCTGTTCCTATTGATTACACATAATTTGACAGGAGAAAATAGCTTATGTCTCTCTAGCTGGATTAACGTATTGTAGCCATGTCAGTCCCAGGGTGAGGTAATATCTTTTACTGGACCTACTTCTGTTGGTGAGAGAGAGCTTTCAAGCTACCCAGAGCTCTTCTTCAGAGGCCTTGGTTACACTTGCCCACAGCGCTGTACCTCACTCCCCGTCCACACTGGCAAGGAACGTACAGCACTGTGTCTCCCTGGCTACACCACTGCAGGTACCCTACCTCCCCAAGAGGAATAAGAGATGCAGTGTAGGGGCTACAACTCCCGGGTGTCAGTGTGAACGAGGAGTTAACTTGCTGCGCTGTGATAATCCCCTTATCAAGTGGCCACTCTTTTCATTGTTGTGATCGGCTCCAGGAACGCAGAAGTGCCGTTTCAAAGCTCCGTACCAGAGAGAAAAAGCAACAATTTTGCTGTTTGCTTTGAGTGAGTGAATGAGAAGCAGGGGGGTCGGAACTTGCAAGGCAGCATGCTGACACACTCTCAGCACCCCAAAACCCACTCTCTCCCCACACACTCCCTGTCACACTCCACCCCCCCCCTTTTGAAAAGCACGTTGCAGCCACATGAATGCTGGGATAGCTGCCCATAATGCACCACTCCCAATGCAGGTACAAATGCTGCAAATGTGGCCAGGCCAGTGCGCTGTCAGCTGTCAGTCTGCAGCGCTTTCCCTACTCAGCTGTACGAAGGTGGGTTTAACTCACTGCGCTCTACAGCTGCAAGTGTAGCCATACCCTGAGTGTCACTGCTAAATACAAGGTGGAACAGATTATTTAGCATAAGTAAATAACATATTTCAAGGGACCATTCAAGGTGAAGTGGCCTGTTAACACCCTTCCAGTCATAGGAAGGAAAGGAGGGGAGACAAATGGGGGAGGGGGAAGAGAGCAGTGTTAGTGGTTTACAGATTGTTGTAATAAGCCATAAATCCAGTGTCTCTCCTTCAGTCAATGAGTTTTAGTGTCTAGCAACAGGGCCAGCTTTAGCAAGAGCGGGGCCCGATT